CCAGCTGTCTCTTGGCCACGTCGCTGGCCGCCAGCCACGCCTGGCTCGGGGACACACAGTAGCCATCCGCCGCATCCTCGGACCCGGATTCGCTCTCCATCTTGATGGGCACATCGAGTGACAATATGGGGTTACCTGGGGCTCCCGGGGGCATTGGGATGCCTCGAAGCTTGTCCTCGGTGGGATAGCACCCCGCGGGGAGACGCTGCCCTCCCGGCCGAGGAAGCCCGTCCTCCAGGCTCCCCTGAGGGAAGGGGCAGCTGGTGGGAAGGGGTGCCTGGCCCTGGTGGCCATCCCGCAAGGCTCTGCTGGTCCGGCTGGTGCAGGGCCCAGGGGGAGGCTTTGGCTGGTGAGAGCCAGGTGAACTCCTGACGGCGTGGACAGTGCCCTGGGTGCCCGGGTAGGGCAGGCAGGCGCCACGGGCCTGCACGGCGGGGAATGGGTCACCCTTGCCGGGCTCCAGCTTCAGCTTGGTGCCGCCGTCCTGACCGTGTCTCCCCGGCGTCCAGTTCAGGTGCTTCGAGGGTCCCTGTGTCTCGAGGTGGCAGCTGTACGGGGGGATGTCCCTCCGCTCCCTTGGGCAGGAGGGGCCCCTCGGCAGCCCCCCCAGTTCCTCTCCTCGCCCATCCCTGCGGGAAGAGACGCCCGTCAGACAGAGCAGGGGTAGCGGGGGCCCAAGGGGAGGCCCAGCATCACGATGGTGCCGGCCACCTGCCCGGGCTGCTCTGCACTGCCTGTGGCACTGTGACACCGAACCAGCCTCCGCCCCTCCTGAATGGGCCTTCCCATGGCCTCCCCAGCACCCAGAGGCGGGGGCAGGTGGGGCCTGGGAGGGGAGAGCGTTTCTGTGCAAAGGTGAGCACGGAGGCCGGGCGTCACCCGGGGGTCCAAACCATGGGCAGAGCCACGTCCGTGGTCCCCACGTGAGTGATGACGACCCCTCCAGGGTGAGGAGTGGGTGTGGGCACCCTCTGTGCATCCCCACATCCCACTGAGAGAGGTTCAGCCACGTGGTCAAGGCCACCGACGCTGTGCCTCAGCCACTTACCCTGCGGCCCCCTCGGGGTGGGGGTGGAGGAGGTCGTGGCCGCCCCGCAGGCACAGGCAGGGGCCCCGGGTTGCCAGCCGGCCCCAGTGGCAGGCGTCTGCGGGCCTCCTGAACACGGACAGGCCGTTTCCTCCGCTGCTCCTCCCTGCCAGGATTCAGAAAAGGGGGGGTGAGCCGTGCCTGGGCTGGGCGAGGCCTCATCCTCAGCACCATCCACGCATGACGCATGGCTTCCCCGCGATGCCCGAGGGGCCGGGCACCCTCCGTCCTCCCGCCCAGCTCTCCAGGCCGCATCGCCACAGAACGCAGCATGTCTCCAGGGGCACGGTCATTTTACCCATTTCAAAAAGACGAGATGGAGAATTTAACAGGTACCTGCTAAGTAACTGGGTTTTCCGTGCAATTCTGGTTCACAGAGACTTGCGGCAGCTTTTGCTCTGCGAAGGACAGAAAACAGCAAAACATGCAGATTAAACGTGTGTGAGGGCAGAAATTACAACACGCCCCGTGTTGTTGTCACACCCAAGAGCAGAAGATACAATGACTCACACTTTTTAAGCCTGTATAGATTGTAAAGCCTTTTCCCAGTTACAGGTTTGCTGAAAATTCCAATTCTCATCACCTTACAGGCCAACGAATCACTAATGAATTTCCTTCAGAAAGCAGACATACATACGCCTAAGATGACTTTCAGCGCATTTGTTTTCTTCTGGATGGTCAGAATGGAAATACAGATTCCTCTGATTCGCAGTAGTTATTTGCGGTAGTTTACAAAGTCATCATGAGCACTAAGTTAGTGATACTGAGCCATCGCCCCAGGGGAGTGTGTACACACACACACACACACACACACACACACACACACACACACACGTCTCACAGATCTTATAATCTTAGATCCTAAGGCAATGTGCAACTTATCCTGGGAGATCCTATTTTCTTCATATTTCAAAAGAAAAAACAAGGCTCACAGGTGTTAAGTGATTTGCCTAAAGCTGCCCCTATAGCAGGTATGAGAATGGGATTCAAACCCTGTCCGACTGGCACCACAGCCAGAGCTTCCTGAACTGCAGTTGGCCCTACTTCTCCATCTTCTGGGTGTCTCTGTAGGAGCCAGAGAGAGAGGTGGAGATGGAGACAGAGATGGAGACAGAGACATGAGGTTGGAGCGTCACCCTTAGCGGGGTGCAGATCACACACACAGAACCTGTGAACATTTAGGCGTGAGGGTGTATCACAAAGTCCCGTTCAGGAAAAGTTGTGAAGGACCTGAAATGCCTTCCAGCGACCACGACGTCCCTTCCGGAGCAACCCTCCTGGGCCTCGGGCTCCCAGGTTAGTTCCTCACAGCCTCTGAGCTCAGAAGGGAACGGGCATGACGCAGGCACTGAGGCCGGTTAGGAATTCAGGTCAGAGCTGAATTCAGCTCCAGAAAACCTGAAGTCAAGAGAAGCTATTTGCTTCTTTCCTAAAATGTTGGCTGGCTCTTCCTCTCTTCGAGTTTTAATGCTGTTCTGTACAATGTGTGTCTAGTATTCGTTGCACGGTCACTCTGTGGGCAGCATCCTAACCCTCACCGCACAGACCCTCGCCAGACCTCCGAGGGACGTCCAGGTGTCCACGCCGCCCTGGGCAGTGGCAGGTGAGCCGGGAGGCCAGCACCCACCGCCCCAGGTTCAGGGCTCCTGCGCGGCCCTGGCTGGGGGTGCCGTCCGCACACCTGCGCTTCCCCGCGTGGCCGCCGGGGGGCAGCAGGGCCTCTAGGAAAAGCGATAGGAGGGGCCGATTTTCCCTCCATCTCGTTTGTACGGCTGGGGAAACATAACAGAAGAGAAGAGCTCATCGTGTGGGGCTCAGTTACCATCATCAAGCCAGAGAGCTCGAAAGCAGAGAACTCTTGAGACGGCAAAGGCAGGTGGAGGGTATTTCTCCCCAGCGTTGGCCCAGGTGGTGGGGAGAAAGCAGGTGCGCAGAGCCGTCTCGCCGGCAAGACACGCGTGGGTGTGGTCGAGCGTAATCTACGTGCTTTGTCGCATCTCACGTTTTAGTTGCTTCATCAGTTATTTTTAGAGTTTTTCCCCGCGGGCATTCTGTTTTTCCTTCCTCCTATTTGACAACATTTTCTACCTTTGTAAAAGAGAAGGCATATGTATTTAATGTTTAAATGCTCCAGAAAACTGCTGCCTTAACGAGCCGGCACGTGCGAGACCCAGAGGCCGTGAAGACATGGCTCCACCTGCAAACCCGGGGCAGGAATGGGGACGCAGGGGGCTCAGAGCCCGGTCATCTGAACGGGCGCTGAGGTCAAAGGGGAACCTGGGTACCAACGAAGGACAAAGAAGCGGGTTGGAGACTGAGGTCTCCTGACATTCTGCCCCTGGTCGCGGCACAGGGGAGGGTATTGAGGAAGGAGAAAGGCAGACGTCAGACGCCTCGCCTCTTCCCCGGGGTCTCCCTCGCACCACGGGAAACACGGTTTGCACGCGCACAGCATCTTAATCTCTCCCAGAACCTGACCCATGCAACACAGACCTAACCCATTCCTAGAAATTACAGACAGGAATCTCCCGGCAAACCTAACTCTGGAGAGCCAAGAAGTCGCGGGGGTGGCGCGATGTGTGCGGGACGCCTGTCTGCAGCGTGTGCCCCAGCGGTGGGCCTGGTGTTGAGGGAGGGCACGCAGAGAGAGGCAGGGAGGCTGCGGTCCGGCCTCCCGTCCCCCACGGGGGACACGGGCCCAGGTAAGTGGAGGGCTTAGACGTGAAGAGATGCAGCAGTGTTTGGTGCCACAGTCCACAAATATCAGTGAAAGGTTTTCTTTTTTCTAATAGCTGCTTCCTACGTGGTGTAGTAACTTTAAAAACAACAAGCTTCTCATTATATTCCTTGCCGGAAATGAAGGAGGAATAGACAGAGGAGACTAAGTGTGGAGACGCTGCGTTTGAAGCAGCAGGATGGGACCGCGGCTGCTGGGGGCTCTGACTCACTTTGTGTCCGGCGTGGCAGAGGTGTCCACCCTCTGTTTCGCCCTCAGACACACACTCTGCATCTTCACCGCAGCAGGCAGGGGCGCCACGACGCAGAACAGGGAGAGCCGAGGGGGCAGGGCGGCTCCCGACGGGGCCCTCCTCTTCTGCCCGAACAGGAATTTCAGTTTCCCTTGAAACTGCATCGTCTGGTGTTGCAAAGACAGAAGCGAAGGCATGTTCACAGAGTGAATCATCGACGCGGTCAAAGGCCGTGGAGCTCACATTCCCGGGGACAGAAAGCCAGAGAGCTCTGATCCCGAGTCTCTGAGGAGCCATGAACCAACGCGTCTTCCACGCTGGCCCTTGGGACAGGCGCTCCCTACCGCCTTTGAATGACTCGGGGTTTCTCTGGCATCCCCGTAACATCCTCTAACCTTCCAGCGTGTTCTCATGTGTGCACTCATGGGTGTGAGGGTGTGCGAGCCCTCACTCGGGGGCGTGAATGTGCATGGACTTGGCCGGAGCCGCCAGGCAGCCCCCCAGGAGGATTTGCTGGAGCAGATCATCTCTGAGGACTGTTCTATATTAACCGTCCACTTCCAAATTGTCATTCATTGACAACTGCCATTCATGGCGATAAAACTTAGGGACAACTTGATTTGTTTATCTGGAGCACATGGTGCGAGTTAAAAAGTTTGTGATAAAAGAAAATAAAAGATCTCCCTATTATGGAAGAGTTGATCTGTAACTGAGTTAGTTCACAGGTGACTTCAGGGCTGCCCCAGCCCTGGATGGAGGAATAAGCCCACAGGGTGGCTGCACTCCTTCCCTGTCCCTCGTCTGTCCATTCGCCCCTCCCTCCATCCTTCCATCTGTCCATCTGTCTCTCCCTCCATCCACCATCCCTTCATTTACCCATCCATCTGTCCATCCCTCCATTTGTCTGTGACTTTACTGGGTGAACAAATGCTTGCAGAGCACCTGCTATGTGATAGTCACATGCTGGGTGGCGCAGTCAGGGCAGTGGTGCTGGGACATCTTTAACATCCAGCTATCCAGAGGGGAAAAGCCCTGACTTTTAGCTTTTGACAATTTCTTCGGTGTAAAAATTCCCACCATGGCTGATTTCGCGCTGCCAACCTATTATCAGCTGGATCTCTATATTCCTGAAGTCTCGACAACGGGCTCCCGTGGGCAGCCCCACCTGCCAGGTGTGGACAGGCTCTGCACAGGCTCAGGAGCAGCTGTGGTGAGCAGCTGTGGTGATGCCGCTGCCCACTCCCCTGTCCTCGGCGCCTCCGCTGTCCGTGCCGGACCCCTTTCCTGCACGTGCACGTGCAGTGACCAACCTCGCAGTAAAATATGATGAGACACTTTTCAAACTGATTTCTTTTGCTTGTTTCCTCTACTCGGTGCTTCTGACACAGCTTCACTCCAGCTTGGGTTTCGATCTCTGCCTCACTGTACAGTAAAATCTACCTACATTCACGTAGAGGGAAAACTATCTTAGTTTCCCGCAGAACTGAGGACAAAGTATGATCAGAACAAAGGACTTTCTGGACAGCCAGCTGACGGCCTGAATAAGAGACGAGCAGCGGGGTGCAGAGGGTTGCAGGACTTCATCCGCCCCTGCGGACCCCCCACTTCATTCTCACTCAGCCGCCGACACTCAGCCTTGCCACGTCGAGGCCAGAGCCCGCGTGCCGCCAGCACCCCGGCCCCTGGCTTCTCCCGCCCAGCAGCCGCTCACTCACCAGGAAGCCCGAGGTGCTGTCCAGCAGGCAGCGCACGCGGCAGATGAAGCATCGGGTCAGGAAGGCCGAGTACTCGGTGGGCCAGCCCGCGGCCCCCTCCTGGGCCCGGAGCAGCCTCCCCAGGACGGCATCCTCTCCTGGCCGCGTTGGCACAGGCGGTGGTGGTCAGGGAGAAACCGGAAACACACTCTGATAAGCAAGTTCGTAATGTAACAGCGAGCTATCAGCACATAACACACACGCCTGCCCCAAACTGACACCTGTCCCTGAGCACCCCTCCCGCCCCCACCCCCGCAGAGCCAGCCGCCCTGACAAAGTCAGGTCTTTGCCCTCGAAAACGGCGTTTTGGTACAACCGCGTGTGTGACAACCACACGTGAGACTGCTGACCAGTTCAGGGTTTTTGGTTCTGAGCTCTATAAAACTGTGTCGGCACCCGGGGCTTGCGCTTTTCTCTAACTTTACAGGGTAACTCATGCTGCTGCGTGAAGCTGTGCTGCAAAGTCCTCCTGAATCACGGACTGCTCGTGGGGAGACGTGTGGGAGAGCCAGCACTCCCTCCCCCGGCTCTGGACCCCAGGTGAACGCCGCCCTTCCCCTCGAGCTCCCGTCGGCTCTGCAGTCTCTTGGGCACCTGGATGCCTGCCCGGTGCGTCCAGTGGGCAGGGGCCACGGATCCGGGACTTTGTAGGGGGTCTCGCTCACAGGGGGCAACGTCCCTGAACAGACAACAGTCCCTGGGGGAAATTTTCTGGTAAATCTAAAGTGAGTGGAAGGAATTTCCCGGAAGACGTGCGTCTGAGGGGGAGTTTGCAAAACCAGAGACAAGTATCGTGGCTTCTCGGCCTCACGCCATGCCCCGGGGGGGGGGGGCCCCAAAGCGACGACCCCAAAACAGCGGGG